CGTGGTCCCATTGGGAGCTCCACCGAAGGCCCCAGTGCTAAGGCCCCAGTCGGAAAGTTCGCATGGCACCACCGGCCCATCTCGGCACACCCCTCACACGATTCGCGGCCCCATAGGGAGATCCACCTGAGGCCACAGGGAGAAAGTTCGCATGGCACCGCCGCCCCATTTCGGCACAGCCCTCACACTTTTCGTGGTCCCATAGGGAGCTCCACCTAAGGCCACAGTGGGAAGGTTACATGACAACGCCCCGCTTCGGCACACCCCTCACCCGCTTCGTGGCCCCATAGGGAACGCCACCGAATACGAGATTCACAGTTGCGGCACTCACAACTGCATATGGTTGGGTCCTTCGCCCGGCTAATTGTCATGCTTCGCGGGAGCGGCCGTTACCGGCCTCGGCCGCCCCATCCCACAGGTAACGTCACGATCGTGCTGGACTCCCAGACGGCTCGGGAGGGCTCCAAGAAAGCTCCCAGCGAGCACCCAGCAGTGGCACCCAGGAGGGCCCTTTGGGTGCCACTGTCAGAAGGCGCTCTGGAGCCGCTCTTGGGCTTCTATCGGGAGCCTTTCGGAATCTCCTGAGGAGCCCAAGAGGAGCCCAAGAGCAGCTTGTTGGCCCTCTTGGAACCAATGACACCCCGATAGTGGCACCCACGAGCCCTTCTTGGGTGCCAGTCGGGTGGCCTTGGGGGGGGCCCTCCTGGGGTCCTCTTGGGCCCCCTCTGGTCTACTCTCGAGGCCCCGTTGGGCTTCTCTCAGGGCCCTGGTGGGGCCGATCTGGGAAACCAGGCAGAGCAAGGTGACCGAGAAACTCTCTCAGCCACCCGTCGGGCCGCTAAGATCAACTGCGCGCAGCTGATCTCATAACTGGATATCGTTTAACCGACCCCTATCCCCACTGGCGTGGCCCTCGTCCCACTGAGCGATTTACCCCCCCACACGATGGGATGTATGCCGTCTCCCCCGGGCTTCAGGGGGGAAATCTCTACCTCGGCGGCGGGGGGAAGGGTAGGTTGGTAGGAGGCTCAATTGGGGTTGGGGTCGGTTAGCCGATACTGCATAACCTCCTCCACTTTCCCTGTCCTCCCCCACCACCCCCGACGTCGCGATTTCTTCCCAACGGCGGCCCTGGATGTGTGAACCTCTTCCCCGGGATCAGCTAGTTCGATCCGGCTATATTGTACTGAGCTGTTTGTTCGCTCCAGAAGACCAATGAGGGATTGTGGAGCCTGGGAACGGCCGAAAACGTTCCGTCGTCGTCGTCGCCCGTGGGGAGGGCTTCATGGATCCAAGTCCCAGAAGCCCTTTTCGGAACCTGAATTAGAGGCTGTTTGCGGCGTTCCGTCGTCGTCGTCGTGGTCCATATTAAGGGCCTGATGGATCATGCTCCTGGCAAGCCTTCCGGGGACATGATTTTTGGGAGTGTCTTTGGGGCCTGCTTGGGGCGTTCCGTCGTTGTCGTCGCCTCTTGGGGAGGCCTCTTGAAGGCGCAAGGAATGATGTCCCCGGAAGGCTTGTTGGCAAAATGAATATTGGAAGTGTCTTAGAGCGATGCGTGGGGCGTTCCGTCTTCATCATAGCCTCTTGGAAGCCATGTTGTGGGCCTGATGAATCATGTTCCTGGCAGGCCTTCTAGGAACATGATTTTTGGGCGTACTCCTGTCTTGGAGGGCTGTTGATGGCGCTGCGTCATTGGCGTCGGCCATGCCTGGGGCCTGATGAATCATGTTCCCACAAGGACTTCTGGGAGCATGATATTTAGACATGTCTTAGGGGGGTGCTTGGGCCGGTCCGTCGTCGTCGTCGTCGCCTCTTTGAAGAGCCATGTTGGGAGCCCGATGAATCATGTTCCCGCAAGGACTGCTGGGAACATGAATTGTGGGAATGTTTTGGGGGGGGCCTGATTGGGGCGTTCCGTCGTCGTCGTCGCCCATGTTGGGGCGTTCCCTCGTCGTCGTCGGACACGATGATCGCGTACCTTTAAAAAACCTGGGCGGGAAACCTGTGAAAGACCGAAGAGGACGAGGAGGAGCAGGCAACGAGGGGAAGAAAAATGCAGGAAGATGGTGCAGCCAGGTGATATTACAAATATCATCATCCGATGGACCCCCTCCTGGTCCCTCCGGGGCCTCCCCCTGGCCGCTCAAATTATCTAGGGGCCTTCGGCCCATCCTGCCTCTTGGAAACAATTTCGAAGCCTCTCGGGGCCGGTTTTGTCGGCCTCTCGGTGCCTCCTGGGAATTGATTAATCGAGCGGAATCCCGGAATTTTCGATTCGTTGTCCCCCTCCTGGGCCCCTCTTGGGGCCGCTTTGGAGCTCTCTGGGCCCTCTTGGGCCCTCTTGGGCGCCTCTTGGGCCGTCTTGGCGCCCCCTTGGACCGTCTGATGGGGCCTCTTGGGAGCTTCTCTTGCCAATTTTTGTTCCCCTGAAGAAATACGGTGACTGTGCAGGGTTTTGCCTGACCAGGCCATAGCCTTCGGCAAAAATCGCTGCTCATACTCGCCGGCCCAACGGGCCAGAGGCGTGCTAAACTCTCTAGTAACATGCTAACAGTATTCTAGTTCGCGCGCGCGTGGCGGCCCCTGGGGGTCCCGGAGCGAAAAGTACCCCCGGCAACTCCCAGCAAATCCAGGCCAGAGATGCCGGATCTCTTTGCCGCGGGCCTGGAGGCTCTGGAACCGTGCAGGAGCAGCCCAATGAGTCGACAAATAGGTAGCAGGCTCTACGGCCAGAAGCCATCAGCGTCCCAAGGCGGCCCAAGATGGCCTCACGATGGCCAACGATGCCCCCAACACCCCCCTCGAGGCTTCCAAGAGGCGTCCCGAGCGGCAAAAATCATGGATTTTCTTTAGGTTCTTGGAGGTGTTCAGCTTTCTCACCTTTTCAGCTTTCCGATGCTACAAGAGAGCTCAAGAGGCCTCCAAGACCGCCCCAACACAGCCCAAGAGGCTCCCAAGATGGCCCCACGATGGCAAGACAGCTCCAAGACGGCCCAAGTGGCGGCCACACGGACCTGAAAACGCCCCAAGACGGCCCCTAAGAGGCCGGAGACGCCCCCGAATCGCCCCAAGTCGCCCAAGATGGCCTCAAGACGGCCCAAGAGGCCGCCAAGACGGCCCAAGAGGTTTCCAAGAGGCTTCCCAAGAAGTCCACACGAGACAAAAATCATTGACTTCCTTTGGGTTAATGTAGGTTTTTAGCCTTCTCGCCTTTCGGCTTTCCGACGCTCCGAGAGGGCCCAAGAGACCGCCCCAACACAGCCCAAAAGGCTCCCAAGATGGCCCCACGATGGCCCAAGACGGCTCCAAGACGGCCCAAGTGGCGGCCACACGGGCCCGAAAACGCCCCAAGACCGCCCCAAAAGGGGCCGGAGACGCCCCCAAATCGCCCCAAGTCGCCCAAGATGGCCTTAAGACGGCCCAAGAGGCCGCCAAGACGGCGCCCTCGTCCCCAAGAGGCGCCCAACATCTCCAAGAGGCCCCCCAAAGGCCCCCAGAGAGCCCCGAGAGCCCCAAGAAGCCCCCTACATGATCCCAGGGCGCTTCCAAGAGGATCCCAAACTGCCCCCCAGGGACCCCCCGAGAGCCCTCCGAGGAGACCCCAAGACGCCTTCACGAGGACTCTGACCCACAACCAAGGCGCGGCGGCGGCATCGACCGAAGGCCACCAGATGGTGTGAGTTTGTAAGTGTGAGACGTGTAACTGCCCCGCCCCCCCCCTCTCCCCCTCCCCCTCCCCTCCCCTCCTCCCCTCCTCCTCCTCCTCCTCCTCCTCCTCCTCCTCCTCCTCCTCCTCCTCCTCCTCCTCCTCCTCCTCCTCCTCCTCCTCCTCCTCCTCCTCCTCCTCCTCCTCCTCCTCCTCCTCCTCCTCCTCCTCCTCCTACCACCCTCCCCGAGTGCCCGCGCTGACGCCACGAACCCGTCACGACCCCCAAAGCATCCCGCCCAAAAACGTCTACACAAAGGACTGCTCCGCCTCCGGCTTCTGAAAACCCACCACCACCCCAGCACCCAGACCCCTCTTCCTCCTCCTTCTCCTTCGTCTCATCTTTTCTCCTCCATGTGGCACCAAGGGAAGGTTCCAGGTGGCGCCAATGGAAGGCAATGGCCGCCTTCAGTGGACCGATCGCCCTCCTCCTGCTCCTCCTCATCTTCCTCCTCCTCCTCCTCCTCCTCCTCCTCCTCATCCCCATCATCCCGGTCCTCCTCCTCCTCACTTCCCCCGACATCTTCCCCTCCCCGCCCTCATTGAAGCAGCTGGCGCTGCTCTGCGTCGGTCGATGCCTCACGATCCCACAGAAGCCCGGCGATCGTCGGGGTGGCGTCGTCCTCCGACTTGCTGCGCGGCGCACAGCACGCGCTGTACATGATGAGGGAGCCGCACGCAATGAACGACAGCGCATAAAAGAGAAGTGGCGCCGTCAGGGAAGTGACATCGTCAACGTGCACAGCAAGCATCCCGCAACCAAAAGCCAAAGTTTTAATCACCTTGGTGGTGATGACGGCTGCGCTCATCGTGGCGTCTTGGTAGGGTGGCTTGATGGCAAAGACGAGCGCCGTCGCGGCGCACACCGTCATCGAAAAAAACATATTCCGCGACGGCGTGTAGGTGGTCTCCGTAGCAATGATCACCAGGGCCAACCGCGAAAAGAGGTCAGCATACGCAGTCCACTTCATGTGCTCCGGATTGGGCTGAAGCGGACCGAAATTCGTGCACTGTGCGCGGCGCTTCCTGCCCCGGAGCCAAGCCGACGGATGGCAAAGGGTGCCGGGCTCCACGTCATGGACGTTCCCCTCCGCGCCTGTCAATGGAAGGAGCATGGCAAAATAAGCGACCCCTCCGACTACGGCAAAGACGGACAACAACATATGAAGTCCGGTGTAGCAAGTGATAGCTGGAGCCACGTCGAGCACGCGGTGCTCCTTTACGACGTGGCAGTCCACCACCGACGCCAGCTGCTTGACCAGTGGGACCACACACAATCCACTGAAAATCTTTACTGCGAACGCGAATTTACGATAGTACGCCGAACCAACATACGCAAAAGCTGCTGACACGGCGCAGCACGCCTTGCAATAAAATTGAAACTCTGGTGAAACACTAGGAAGGGTGAAATCTGCCGACCCCTTGGGGATCATCGGCGTGTGAGCGGCTTTCCCCTCCCAAAACCCCTCCCCCGGGAGCCTGGTCCGGCTGATTTGGAGGGGGGGTCCGTAAGGTGCGGGATTCAATGTGATTTGACGGTGGTGTTTACAAGCATACACACTGTAAAAAATGTGCATACGAATGTATGTTGTAGGAATGTGTGTGTGAACACACATAATGTGTGTACATGTACATAGTCATAAATTTACATACAAACACACACACACGTATATATATAGACACATGTGACACGAACCATATACGCGTTATGCGTACTCATCGCTAAACGTAACGTGTTATATATATATATATATATATATATATATATGTGTGTGTGTAAGTGGCTGAGCCCGTGTATATACGCATTGATGTATAAATATTATCACGGCCAGATAGTGCAACCCACGGCGAACAATACTTGCACACACCTCCGTTACATATACGTGTACGTGTACGACCATATTGTTATATGTAAGCGTGTACATAAGCATACATACAATCACACATGCATATCCGAGCATCACATATCTATGTAGTAATGATACAAGCGCCTTGCGTACGCGAAGTTATGCGTAATGTAACCATGGGTGTTTGGTAGAGAGTGGGAACGGGAACGAGATATACAAACTTGTGCAAACACACACACACACCTATATATATATGGAGGAACGTAGCACTACATTGCAATATTCCAGAAACGGCATTGCACACACCTGTGTTGCATGTATTGAATGCGGTGTCATGCTTAATGTCGTTTGAATTTACAAAGCAGTATCCGCACATATTAAACATGCACACGTATTTTATATACATATATACAGTTGTATATGCAAACCGCATATTAGAAATGGGGGTGGCGCCGACGGGGCACGCCGACGGGCGGGGCGCAGGCGGGGAAGAGGGGCGCGAGCAGGGCGGGCGAGGACGGGGCGACAAGGAGCAGGAGCAAGGGGGTGGGCTCCAGGAGCAGAATGCACTTTTGCCGCTGAACCCCGAATCGAACCATATCCACCCAAGACAACTACAGTCCGAATGCCAGAAACGCATTCTGGACCCGACCATGTCCAATCAGGCACCTCTAACTGTAAGCGACGGGGGCGGGCAGCGCACCGCGCGGGGGATCGCTGCGCGAGCGCCCCGGGCCAGCGGCAGAACGCCATCGGCCAGGGGCTAGGCCAGCAGTTGTGCTAACATGCGCCCCGTGCCAGTCACAGGTCGCCCACTGGCTGCGCGGCATCTCGCGCCACTCCGACCCGTAAATTGCATGCGCATCGCAATTTTCACCTGCAAAGAGGGCTGCGTCCATCGGCATGCCTGGAGAGAACGCATCGCTCTGGAGGCACGTTGGCACTTGCATCTGCGGGCCCGCAGGGCATAAAACATCTGCGCGCCCTCGCTCGGGCTGGGTCTCTCAACTGGCCGTGGACCAGGGCTTATCGCGATGATCCCTCCCTGGATCTCCTCGTGGCTTGGCGGAACAACGATGTGCTCTCGCACCGCGAGCTCAGGCGGGAAATCTCTGTCTGGGTCATGCTGGAGGCGCCGTGGCGCGCGAAGATGCCTGAGCGCCGCGCGGAAATCACTCTCGCGTCGGGGTCTGGCGCCAGAGGCCCTGCCAGCGCAAATGCACCCGAAGCGCTTTCGCTGGCGCCTGGCGGCAGCTGGCCCCAGAACTGCCGGCGGTTCGTCCTGTTAGCCGCCCGGCGTCGCGCCAACGCTAGTCGCGAACTCTGCCGTCGGCCCGAGCTCGCGCGGACTCGCCGCGGGGCTGCGTTAACGACGTCTTCAAGTTGTGCCCCTGTAGCCGCTGCTAGCCCTCCGCGGTCTTGTGCAACGTGAGCGCCCCGATTGGGGTCCGATCCGTGCTGCAACCATCTTTGGGTATGTTCACGCGGAGGTTCTTGTGGACTTGCAGCATGTTAGCTAGCATCCCATCTGTTGCCGAGGTCAAATCCAGTTTCGATGGCCCTGGCGCGGATTGGCCTGTCGTTCGCCTTGCGGCCAGCGGTGATTCCGTCGAACTCCTTGCTGATTCGCATCTCGCTGGCAACGTTGACGCCGTGTCCCTCAGGGGTCTAGGGCGGCGCGGCTGCTCAGCTCGGCCTCTGCCCCGACCGCGCGGTCGGGCAGCTCCTCGCGCGAAGGCGGCCGCGCAAGGCGCGGGCCGCCAAAGCAGGACACGGTTTCAACGGATGGGGCGCGAGGCCCTTGGGCGAACAACGCCATGCATCGCCGTGGCGCACTTGCGGGCCCTCTCGGGGCCCGCGGGGGCCTGCCGGGGGGCCCCTGGGTCCTCTCGGAGCATCTGGGGCCGCCCCGGGGCGCCCATTGGCCCGTCTGGCGCCTTCGGGGACCGTCCTGGGGGCAACTCAGGGCCGCCCTGGCGCCATCTTGGAGCGCTTCTGGGCCGTCTCGGGGCTCTCTCGGGAGCCCCCCGACCGATCTCGGGGCCGTCTTGGGCCGACTTGGGGGCCCCATGGGCTGCCCGGGCGCTATCCAGGAGGCCCCGCGGGGCCGCCCTGGGCGATCGGAGAACCCACTCGCGCGGGAACTTCTGCTTTAGCATGCCCGAATCTACCTCGCGATCCGCCGCCGCGTCTGCGCGGGGAGAGCGCGCCCGCATGCCCCCGTGGCCCCGTTCTGGGAAGGCTATCTCCATGGTCAAGAGGCTCTGGTGACGGACTCACGACAGCCCATGAGAAAATCGAAGCGGCCCAGGATGAATCCAGGAGAGCTCGAGGAGGCGTTGGAGTATGGTGGGGCAGGTTGAGCAGAGTAGAATAGGGTAGCGTAGAGTAGAATTGAGTAGCGTAGATTGGGGCATGATAGAGTAGGGCGGAGTAGACTAAGACGAGAAGGTAGTCGCAAAGACAATTAGGAGGGAGGAAAATAGAGTAGGGTAGAATAAGGTGTGGGCAAGGCAAGGTCGGGCAGCGGCTCACCCTCCTCCTCCAATCCACCCCCCCCCGCCCCCCTCACCGTTCCTGCGAAGCGGAGGGGGGGGGGGGGGGCGGCGACCGCGCCCGCCCAAGGGCGCGCTGCAATGCATCGATCACACTCCATTGATTGGACCACGTCGGTTTCAGGAGCGACCAGATAAATTTCCGCGCTCACCAAGGTGGCCCAAGCTGGCCTCCGGCACGGCCCGCGATAGCCGAGCGTGCCCGACGCGTCTTGAGCAGCACTCTGAGGAGGAGCGCCGTGCGGATGATGATGTTGTTTACGGCGATGCTGTCGATGGTGCTGGCGATGGCGACGCTGCGCGGCTGTTTGCCGAGCGGCATGGACAGCGGCCCATCGGCCCGAACAGTCGGGGCGATCTCGAGGCGACTCCAGCCGACCACTGCTGGTCAGCAGCGGAGGAAACTTGCGCTGTTCTGCAAACGTGCCAAGTGCCCATTATCAATCGCTGTCCTCTGCCTATGCGTCGGCGCCCACCCCCCAGCGCCCCCAATCTTGAACGTGGCCGAGTAGGCGGTCTGGAGCCGAAGGGCGTTCGGCCTGGCCGGGGCGACCTGCTGCTCCATGCCGCCGAAGACGTGGCTGATGACTTCGGGCATGGCCTCCATGGTCGGGCGCGCGATCGCACTCTGGGCGAAACGCGTCGGCTCGACGCGGGGAGCGCTGGCCCCAGCGGCGGGGGGGCCGTCAGACGCGGCGCCGACGGCGCCGGCCCCGGCGGCGCCCGCCGCGGCCTTCCCCGCGGCCGAGCCCCGGGACCTCGGGCTCCGCGCTGGCGGAAGGGCAGCGTCGTCAAGCTGGGGGTGCCCGGGGTCTGCTGCGGAGGGCGGTCGGGGGTGCCTGGCGGCGCCCAGCCTCGCGAAGGGCGGTCGGGGGCGCCTGGGCTTGCGAGGCCACGCGCACCTGACGGGGTGACATCGCGCCTGGGCGAAGCGGGGGCCGCGGGCCGAGGAACGCCGCGCGCCCGGAACGGGCCGCGGGGCCGAGGGCGCCGCGCGCCCGCCGCGGAGCCGAAACAGCTGCGGAATGGGCGAGGGGCGGGGGGGCGGATTGGTTAGCTTCATCGTCGCGCCCCTTATACTCGCGCATCGCATCTTCGCTTGCCTCTGGTTTCATAATTTCGCGCCTCTTATATTTGCACCTTTTAGTTTCGCGCCTCTGATATTCGCGCTTCCTTGCCCTCGCGCCTATAATCTCTGCGCGCGTTTGTTCTCGCGCCCCTCGTCTTCGCGCCTTATGTTTCTTCGCCCCTCTCGCATTGCCTTGCCCCCGGATTTATGTTCGCGCCTCTTAACTTGACAAGTTCTGATCTGAACGTATATTGCTTACTGGCGTGTTCGCGTCGCGCCACTATCTTTATTCTTATTTTCGTGCAGATGGATGTTCGGGAAAAGGGGGCGATGGCACTTGGTGCTCCCTTTCTCTGGGCGCGCCATGATCGTGGACTGCAAGTTTTTTCGGGCCGCGCCCGCGCGCGGAGCCGCGGCGACCCATCCGGGCGCGCGACGCATCAGACGCGGAACCGCGGCGATCAGCCCGGGCGCGCGATACATATATATACATACATACATACATACATACATACATACATACATACATACATACATATATATATATATATATACATATGTATAGATATACATACATACATACATACATACATACATACATACATACATACATACATACATACATACATACATACATACATACATACATACATATATATATACACAAATATATATATACATATATATATACATATATTACAGTTACATATACATACATACATACATAGATACATACATACATACATACATATACAAACATACGCGCACATCAATCAATGGGGGCGCGCCGCTGGATAACCCGAAGGGGGGGTGGGTGGGAACCCCTTCCCCCCCCCCTTTCCCTGGTCCGTCGTCGGAGACCCCCCCCCTTTCCCGGCGCGTCGCCGGGGACCGGCCCCCCCGATTCCCGGTCCATCGCCGGGAACCCCCTTCCCACCCC